CAGGAATGGCTGCAATCACATTACGTCAATGCTTGCAAACAGCTCGTCAACAAGATAGTCGACGCGGGCGATCTCGTAGAAGAATGTGTCATCGGCTGGGACAGTGTCAATGAGCCCAACCACACTTACATCAGCCTCGACAGTATCTCTTCTATCCCAAAGTCCTGGCAGCTCAAGAAGGGCCCCGTCCCCACTCCAATCCAAAGCTTCCGTCTTGGCGCTGGGCAAGCTCAGACAGTAGAGAACTGGACCTTCGGTGCTATGGGACCCAAACGCAGCGGCTCGGTCACTGTCGACCCAAACGGCACCTTAGCCTGGCTCACTGAAGACGAGGAACGTGTTCAAGGCGGTTCAAGGTGGGGTTGGAAACGTGATGACGCCTGGCCCCTCGGTCAATGTCTTTGGGCTGCCCACGGCGTATGGGACGAGGCTTCAGGAGAAGTACTCAACGACGCCTACTTCCGTTTCTTCGAAGGTCCAGCCGGAACCAAGCCTGCCGAATTCGCCGAGGACTACTGGTTACCACACTACCGCAAGTACGCCGATATGATCAGGTCCATTCACAAAGAGGCTATCATGTTCATCCAGCCTCCAGTCTTTGAGCCACCACCCAAGTCTCTTAACAAGGACGATCTCAAACAACGCGCATGTCTCTCTGGCCACTTCTACGATGGTCTCACCCTCATTACCAAGCACTGGAACTGGTTCAACGCAGATGCTGTGGGCCTTTTGCGGGGCAAATACCCTGGTGTTCTCTTTGCCATCCGTATGGGAAGCAAAGCCGTTCGACAGTGCATGAGAGATCAGCTCGGGTATCTGCGAGAGGATTGCCTCGACGGCCTCGGCCAGTATCCTAGTTTGATCGGCGAAATTGGCATTCCATACGACCTCGACAAGAAGAAGTCGTACTATGGCGACAGCAAGGGCAGAGGAATCGGCGACTATGCTTCGCAAACTCTGGCGCTGGATGCATCCCTCAACGGTTGCGACGGAAAGAATCTGCTCAGTTACACCGTTTGGACCTACTGTCCTGACAATAGTCACGAATGGGGCGATGACTGGAATGGCGAAGATCTCAGCATTTGGAGTCGCGACGATGTCAAAGGTGCCGAGCAGGAGGATTCATCTGGCTCCCCCTCTGTGGCCAGTCCAAGTTGTTCATCTGCGTCCAGCATTCGTTCCAAGCCCAAGAGCAGTCTCACTGGCCTGTCTTCTGGCTGCAACTCCAAGTCCAGCATCAACCTTCCCGAACTCGTACCTGGCGACGGCGATTACAATGCCCCAAATCTTCTCAACGGTTCTCGTGGCGCTGCCGCTTTCTGTCGGCCCTTCCCTGTTGCCACAGTAGGTACTCCTGCCAGCATTGACTTTGACATCAAGTCATCCGAATTCTCCTATGCTCTCGATATCACAGGTGCTGAACTAGATCGCGCTGCTGCCGGTTTGCCGACCGAGATCTACCTTCCTTTCCTACACTACGACGCTGATGGTGTGGCTGCAGCTGCCAGTGGGGATCTACGCGATCGACGGAAGAAGAATGGGCCTGCATCAGCACGTTGGGCCCGTCAACAGGAGAGAAAACTCCGCTCCGCCTCTTCGCTCGCCTCTTCGCTCGCCAGCATCGGCAGTACCGAATCGTCGAGCATTGCCGAGTCATCATCCTCCTCTGCATCGACCATTCTTGCTGATTCCACTGAGCTTTCCAGAGCTGCTTCAACAAGGTCTGCAGCCGTGCGCGAGGCTGCGGGCGAACAGCTCCTTGCTGTCGATGTCCAAGTCTCAGCTGGTCGGTGGGAGGTCGAAGGCCAGTATTTGAGGTGGTACATCAACAAGGCTGAGGCCATCGCAGAAGATGCTGATAACCCTGCCAATCGCGTCTTCCGACACTCGATCAAGGTCAGAAGAAGCGGTGGGCCCGTTAAGCTCGAGATGTCGGGGAGTGCCTGGCATATCTTGACCTCTTGTGGCATTCTTTAGCATCTTACCATCACCCTGTCTTGCTGACAATCATACACTCCTTCGGTCACAATAGCTTCTTTTTCACCGCATCCTTCTTCTCTCGCAACCATAGTTGACTTGGCGCCGGATTTTGCGTGCAAGACAACACAGAACATCGCGTGTGTACGAAAGAGCTTTGCACATTCCAAGACATGTGAGACACTGTATGAAAAGACAAAAAAAAAGACCAAACAAGGATGTTTTGCTTCAACATCAAAAGTGAAACTAAAACAGAAGAGGCAACAGTCCGGCAAACAACTGAACCAGCAAGTCGTGAGGACGTCGAAATGAAGCAAGAAATGGAAAAACGTGAAACAAAGATCGAAAGACGGGCTTGGTTGCATATTTGGCTGTATGATAGCAACGAGGACCGGACTCGAAGCGGCAAACTGCAGGGCCTTATTCTGTGATGCGGAATGCAAATCCTTTTGATCGCCTCCTTCCAAAGCATGAATTGACGAAAGCCTGATAAGTGAACGTGAATGAACGAATGAATGAATGAATGAGATACTGGCCGGCAGAAGATGAGAGACAAGATAAAGTCCATAGGCACCCAGCACCGTGTTGGAGGGCAAGGTCAAGAGAAACGAACAAGGCGTCTACGAGTCGGCCTGCTCCATGATGATCTTGGAAAGACCGTCGTAGAGGTTGGCAAAGTTGTTGAGGTTGCCTGTTGGCGTGGCAGCGGTGGCAGAGGCGGCAGCAGCCGACTTGCTGGCGCGAACGCTGGCACGCGACTTGGCAGCGGCTCTGGAGACGGAAGCGCTGGCACGGGCAGCAGCCTTGGTGACCGAGTATACTGAGGCACGAGAAGAGGCAGCAGAACGGGAAGCAGCAGCTGACGAAGCGGCGGCGGCGGCGGCGGCAGAACGGGAAGCAGCAGCGGCTTGCGATTTGGCCTCTTCTTTGGCTTGTTTAGCAGCCTGTTGAGCCTTCTTCTTGGCAGCGGCAGCAGCAGCGGCAGCGGCGGCTTGGCCGTCATCGTCGTCATCGTTGTTGTTGTTGTTGTTGTTGTTGTTGTTGTTCCCACCGCCGTTGTTGCCAGAGTTTCCACCGCCTTCACCAGCAGGCCACCAAGTGATAGGGAAGACACCAGTGCCAAGACTTGTGAACTCGGTGAAGAGGCCGACACTCATGTCGAGAGAGCCATAGAAGCAGTTCCCTCCGCCAGTAGGGCAAGCATCCTCGACACGAGCGGTGGCAGTCTTTTTACCGTTGGAGATGATGATGGTCTTACCACACCACGAGGAACGCTGGCCGAGGTCACCGTACATGGGCTGGTTCAAAGCGACGACGTGGTCGTTGGGGTTGAGGAACTGACCACAAGCACTGTGGAGCGGAAAAGGGGAAGAAAAGGTTAGCTACATGCTCTGTTGTTGCCGACGCAACGAGATAAGAGAAAAGCAAGCGAGAGACACGTACCCAGCGTTGCCGGTACCAACGTCGTACCAGGTGGCCATACCAGAGTAGGTGGCGCGCTTGACGATGGCCTGCTCTGCATCGACGGGGCCCTTGTTGTGGTGTCGTCGGCGAGGGGTGGTGTGGCCGTGAGAGGAGGCCAAGGAGGTCGAGACCAAGGTGGTAAGTACAATCGCAGCAACCGCCTTCATGTTGGATGATGGTGAATGTGTATTTGTCCAAAGCGATTGCGAGAGACTGAGCGATGCGTGACAAGATTGATTGGTTGCAGACGGTCGGGATCCAAATGAACGTATGCTATACCAGAAAGAAATGGCGGCGTATGTCGTGAACAGTGGATGGTGGGGGGGGGGGGGGGAGGGGAGAAGGGGAATAGAGTGGAGAGAGATGGTGGTGGTGGAGATGGCGGAACGAGCATGTGTGTGTGTGTGTCGACGAGGATGAGGGGGCAGCTGAGGATTAGAGGGTCTTCATCGGGACACTGGCCCAGCAAGTCAAAGGGAACAGACATTTCAGTATTGGACAAGCATGCCAAGGCGACAGAGCAGTCAATTTACCCCATTTTCCCACCTGGTTGTCCGAGGCGTGTGTGTTGAAATGTGCCTTGCTCGAGTGCCAGTGCAGCGGTCAAGCAGAGGAACAAAGGGGTCCAATTTTGCAATTACAGGACTGGGTCAGTGTCAGTGTCAGTGTGGCTATTTCGCTGGAAAAGTGAGTGGAGATTCGCTGCCCAACTACGAAACTCTCTCCAAGTGCCTTTTCCAGAGTGGGGGTGTGTGGCTTGGCGCATTTGTTCTTGTGTGCCCTTTTTCACCCTTGTTTTCCCCCTTGTTTTCCCCCTCTGTTTCACTCATTTCAAAATGGCATGTCCGAGGCCGATCTTGCCCTTTTCCGTTGCCCTTTTCCGAGGCACGCCACCCTTTCTCTTTCCCTTCATTTCATTTCATCTATTTCAAACTGAAACTCAGTTTTGAGAAATACAAAATGCCAGAGCAAATAGTGAAAATCTCTGTAAGAAAGGATCGACACCACGCTGTACCGAAGCAGTCGACGCGTTCTAGCGCAAAAGAGACGTGACACTCTCACACTTCTTCTCTCTGTTCTCTGCTCTCTCTCTCCCTGTACAACACTCGTCACTGTAGCTTGCCTTAATCTTGTCCTCTTCTGCATTGCCGCACTTTGCCTAACCACGCTGGACTGATCGTCTTTGGGAAGCGTTGGCATTCCGCTCCTCCTGCCAACGATCTTCTTGGAATGCCAAGGATACGCACAGCTGCAGCTCTCTTTGCTTCCTTCTCTCCATCTCAGTTCATCGAACCTCTGCTTTACATCCTTCCAACCGGGTTCCAGTCAACACCACCGTCTGCAGCTACCATCCTGGCTTGCCTCCTCTTTGCTGCAATCGTTCTTTTCTGGCTGTCCTTTCAACCTGTTCGTCTTCCCTGTCTGTTTCATCCTCTGTCATCAAAAAAAAAAAGGCACGCTTTCTGCACCGGCGTCCAAAACACATCACAAACAATCAACGTCAGAAGCCAAACAACAGCAGTGGAAGAAACCAAGGAGAAAAATTCCAAAACGAATGATGACAAGAGTGGGATTCCAACCCACGCCCGAAGATAGCAGGTCCTCCCGATTGCTCATGATATCTTCCTTAATGCTACGCCTTAGACCACTCGGCCATCTTGCCTCGACAGCAGTAGATTTTATTTATTGTATATATGTATAATTAAAATAAGATGGGCATGCACACATCCGGCGTCATTGCAGCGAGGGATGAGATTCAACTGAGAAACGGAAGCCTTTCTTGGTCTTCTTCCGATCTTCTCCTTATGGTAACAGACAATGACTATATTATAGATACGTGCTAGGGTATATGAAAAGTCTTACAGGACTTGATGAGACACCGATGCGTTGCAGTCGCGCCTCTCTCTACCGTCCGCTGTGCTTGCGAATGCTCTCAAACACTTCCACCACCACGTCTGAATTTGTCATCAGACTATGGCTTGCTCCCTCCACGACATGCAGCGAACAGGCTTTCATCTCTCTAGACAAGTTGATCGAGCTCGACAGAGGAATCCGCTCATCCTTTGATCCGTGCCATACCTCGCAATCGGCTTGCAGATCCGTGTAGCCAAATCCCCACGGCCTTTTTCCCAAAACCATTTGCAAATCATCCACCAAGCCGCGTGCACTCTCCGCATGAGAGGCTTTGAGCAGCTCAACAGCGCTGTTCCGTTCCGCTTCTGCCATTTGCGAGTCGCTTGTCTGCCAGGACAAGGCCGGCCTGCTACCGTCAACCACCTTTCTGGTCTCTGCTTGTGTTTCCCCTGACTTGCTGCTTGGCAGCGACGTGCCATGCTCGGCCAAGGCGTTGTTTCTACGATGCGTCCGCTCCTTGGGAGGAGGCGTTGGTCCTCTGTCAAATTCCTCGAGGTCGTACTGCCGAACATCGTAGCAAGGCTCTTCGACCTGGGTGAAGGCATTTCTGTTCGCTCCCCTCGACCCTTCTTTGTTCAGCTTCCAGTTCTGGATCTTCCACTCGGCTGCCTGTGCCGTCTTGATAACGCCGTCCGGGACGTATCGCAACCAACGATAGCCGCTATCTTGTTGCATGCCCGTCCAGGGAGCAAGCAAATGCAGCGGCCCCTGAATGCGGTGAGGAAAGAGGAGCGCTAGGGCCACCGCGAAAGGCGCACCGGCGCTATGGGCTAGGATCGAGAATCTATCAATCTCGAGAAGATCAGCTACCTGTTCGACAACAAAGCTCCAGCCGAGAATGTTGCGTCCGTCCGACTGCACACTGTCTGTTCGGCCAATGCCCCACCTATCGATGCATACCAGGCGCAGGCCGAGTGACGCCGCAACCTCGTCATACAGGCCGATAAGATGCCTCGATGCCCCTAGGCCAAGGAAGACCATGACAGGATGCCCGGTCTCGAGGCCCACATCGGCGAACGACACTTGAAGCAGCGGTGATCCGGCAACCTTGACCTTCGTGCAGAGTGTCAGGCTCGTCAGCCCTGAAGCTAGGCTCTTAGTATTCACCTCTCGCTGAGCTGGAGACTGTAGTGCGCCGTGACCTGTCTCTGACACGCTTGAAGTCGTTCCACCGATGGAAAGTCGCGACAATCTCCGTCCGATGTCGTTGGAATGTGTCGTCCTCAGTACAGCGCGGGTCTCTTGCTCCACAGAGCCTTCCGAATCTGATTTTGAAGGCTCTTCATCGTAAGTCGAGCTCCTTACTGAGTTTGATTGCGATAGGGGCGTTGTGGACTCGAAGGCGGACCACGAAGCGGAACGTTGTGGGCCACGCTGTGATTGAGGAGCGGACAAGAGGTTGCCGGAATGCGTCTTGATGATTTCGTCGATGGACTTGACAGGTTCCAATGTGATGGTACGTGGGCGAGCCCTTCCCAGCGCAACCGAGGAAGCGGCGTACGTGCTCGAAAGCGAACGTCTTACGGAAGTTGAGCCTTCAGTACGCTTGCGGGACGTGTCTGGTGGGAGTAGGAAAGCGCCGGCGTGTCTCTTTTCGGAAGAATGTGAAGCCTCTTTGCGTGCCGGTTCGAGTCGGCTACTTGAACGAGATCGACAAACAGAGCTACCTTCCGGCGCTGGCGATGCGGATTGACTTGCAGCTTCTTCAGGAGCTACGAGAGCAGACTTTGGGATGTAGGGCCCGGTCTGCTTCCGTTCCGGATACAGGTCGTAGTAGCTTCTCGTCGTTTCACCGCTACCGCTCACTTCTCTGCTTGCTTGCGATATTGCCAACGGCCTGCTGCGAGTATGTGAGCCGACCTTTCCACTGGAGGATCTCACCGACCGTAGTGAGCTTCCTCGCTCCATAACTGGGTATATTGGTGTTACGATCGTAAGGTCTGAGTAACGAAACACCGATGTTTCGTGGAGCACCGAGAGCTTTTCTGTATTTCGCAGCTTAAATATTGCACATCGGGCACTATCACGAGCCGATCTAATCTTCCCCGCGTTTGAATGCAATCTACTGCTAAATCTCTCCATGCGAATAGTTATCTGTACCACCATCGTACATCAAGACACACGAAAGCTGATCGCCACCCCTCTTCAAGGGGGAGGGGGGGGGTCGCTGGATTACAGCTCTGACAAGGTTTGGTCCCCATGCAAACGTTCGAGCGTGCTCTGTCGATCATCGCAAACAGTCATGAGGCGTACAACAACATTCAAGGCAGCGACAGACAGACCTCAAACAGTGGCATAGGGCTGGGAGACATCAACAAGAGAAAGCCGATGAACCAGCTGCTAGGGGCAGTAGACAGAGGCAACGCATCTCGCGCGACAGTGAACGCTCCACTCAGCAAGTGACCGAATATTGCGATATCAACCAGGCGCTTCTGAAATTCTTCAAGGTCCCACAGTGGGTGGAGTTGGAGGGAAACATACGGGTCTTGACGAAGCCGAGAAGCCGACAAGGGGGATATCGCCTTGCTTGGGTTTGCTGAAGGTTACGATCCAGCAAGATGTTGATAGAAGCATGAGCCGATATAATAAGGGATCGGGCAAGGCCGATACGATAAGAGATTGGGGACCGCTTGGTCCCGCTCATTGTCACACTTCATCCTTTGAGAGGCATACTCCCACCTGCCACTACTGTATATATATATCGAGCGGAGAGCTCCAGGCTGCCACCATGTTCGATTAGGTCAATATAGTATAGTGTTTCTGCCCAATAGCAGCAGTACTGTGCTTTGGCTGATATCGCTCGATAAGCGTCGCCAACTGTCGCATTTTCCATTTGAAGGAGGGGTATCAACTCGCATCAGGAAGTCGACGGAGTGACCGATGTCTTCCGACAGGATGATCGGTGCATCTGACGGGACGGCCGACAAGTCTTCTCATGATGATAAGCTTTTGTCGGGCCTCCCATCGGGCAGTCTCCATCGAGGTGATCGGTGCATCCTACAGGACGGCCGACAAGTCTTTTCATGATGATAAGCTTAGTCTGGCACCTTCTGTCAGGGTGGCAAAGTTCCTCTTCAGATGAGACCAGACTCCTCCTTCAAGGGGCTCTCATGTCCTGCCTCTTCATGCTTCAGATCTCCCTTCTATCTTTATTTCGATGGGTCAAGGTGTATATAAAGTGCTCGAGTCAGCTAGTTTTGTTCCTGATATATCATCCATCACTTGTACTTACTCACCAACATCGAGAATGCAATACGACCGTGCCCTACCATAAAGAGTCTACCATCCCTTCAACACCATTAGCATTGGCCTCCCACAACTTGAGTGAGAGGGTACATCTTTCAAGATGAAGTGTGGCCTCGAGCTGGATCAAGCAGTGCCTGATCTCTTACCATATTGGCCCATGTCCCCATCAGCATCTTGCTGGATCGTATCCTTCAGCAGCGAATTGTGGTTAAGTTATCTTGAAAGTTTACACAATGGCATCCAACCCCGAACGGGGATGCCCAGGGACGAAGTGGGGGACAGTACTAAAGCTATGGGGGAAGCTCACCCCAGTCAACATAAGCTGCCTGCTACTCCCTTCCCAAAGTTCAACCCGAGGGATGTGGAGATCTTTATAATTGAAGCTGAAGCCTGGTTCATGTTCAACCGAGTCTATGACCATAAGAGCATGATGAGGACAATGAGGGAAACACCAGTGGGACAATGCACTGATGGTGTGCATTGCCCTACAACCCTGGTCGCCATCCATCTGTACCTATCAAGAGTGTTCTCTTTGTTTTTCTGCCAGAGTAAGTAAAGCAGTACTTGAGCTAACCGGAACGGTCCAAGACCATCCAGCCTGTATACTCACCAACACTGGCGCTGGCTTGTCTATAGTTTCAAACTTCTTTGTTCGTAAGTATCAATTAAACACAAAACCAACAAAAACACAATCCGTACATGGTGTCACCAGACACCAACTCACCATCAACAGCTCTGCAACCATGCAAGTAGTTATTGGCAAACACAAGTTAGGGGTGGTGGAAGCTTCAGTAGCAGATACCACTGAATATGACCTCATACTGGGCTTCTCAGAACTGAGAAGACTGAGGCCGACAATCCAGTGGGATACCGGCCAGCTCAAGTTCAAAACCCAAGCTCAAGAGGTCGGAACAGAGAAGTTTGGAGGTTTACAATGAAAGCCCCTGAAATCAATTGGAATAGGGGTCACCCGGTCAGTTTCCACGAAATCAACTGGAAATAGGGGTAACCAGTGTCATGGGCCTGAATGCTCAAGAAGCAGGAGGGTCACTGGTTCATATGGAAGGAGCACAGGTATCGGAGATCTAGTCGATACCAGTAGAGAGCATGGTCGTAGGGCAGTCTCCATGGAGACCATGGACTCCTATGGACTCACATGCAACGGAGGACCAGGTCCATATGCAAGGAGGACCAAGCGCATATGCGAGGAGGGCCAGGCACCACCACAATGAGGACCGAGCTCAAGGAGCATACAGACGGTTACCACTCAGGGACTCGGGAGATAGGAGCCAGAGGAACTGTCGCCGGTCGAAGGAGGAGGAGCAGTGTATAGGAGACCGGCAAGACCGGCAAACAGGTCCTGAGGTGGAGGAGCAGTGTCGAAGGGGTCGACACATAGCTCAAGGAGGACAGGGGCGGTGCTAGAGGGGCCCCCTGTACAGTACTCAACGAAGAAGGTACTCTCTGGAGAGAGAGCAGGAGCAGTGTCGCTGGCGACGCTGT